CCCATAAGGCTAGCAGAAGATTTTTCAACAGAAACTTTGCAAGCCACAGGATAGTGACATGATACTTTGAAAGTGCTAAATGGGAAAAATCTGCAGCAAAGAATACTCTATCCAGCAAGACTATCACTCAGAATAGAAGGAGAGATAAAAAGTTTCACAAACAAGAACTGAAGGAGTTCGTGACCATTAAACCAGCCCTGCAAGAAATATTAAAGGGGGCACTTTGAGTGGAAAAGAGAGACCAAAAGTGACAGTATAAAGGTAGGAAACACAAACGTAGTAAAAATGAATATTTCTGTAAAAAATCAAAGAATTCACCAAAAAAGGATGTAAAATATAATAACATACACCTAAAACATGGGGAGAAGAGGAGAAGAATGGGTTCAAACTTAAACAACCATCAACTTAATATAGACTGCTATATGCAGAAGAGGTTATATACCAACCTAATGGTAACCATATATCAAAAACCACTAACAAACATGCAAAGAATAAAGACAAAGAAATCCAAATATATCACTAAACAAAATCAGCAAAACATGAAAGACAAAAGAAAGGATCAGAGAAAATCTCCAGAAACAACCACAAAGCAAGTAATAAAATGGCAATAAATACATATCAATAATTACTTTGAATGTAAATGGACTAAATGTTCCAATCAAAAGACACAGGGTGTCAGAATGGATTAAAAAAAAAAGAAGAACCATTAAATGCTGCCTACAAGAGACTCATTTTAAACCTAAAAACATCTGCAGATTGAAAGTGAGAGAATGAAGAAACATTTATCATGCAAATAGATGTTAAAAGAAAGCCAGGGTAACAATCAATACTTACATTAGACAAACCAGACTTTAAAACAAGACTGTAACAAGAGGCAAAAAAGGACACTATATAATCATAAAGGGGACAATCCAACAAGAAGATATAACAATTGTAAATAGTTATGCACCCAACATAGGAGCACCCAAATATGTAAAATAATTAATAACAAACATAAAGGAACTCATTGATAATAACACAATAATATTATGGAATTTTAACACTTCACTTACATCAATGTATGGACATCTAAGCAGAAGAAGGAAACAATGGCTTTGAATGACTCACTGTACCAAATGGACTTAAGAGATATATTCAGAACATTCCATGCTAAAACAGCAGAATACACATTCTTTTCAAGCGCACATGGAACATTCTCCAGAACAGATCACATATTAGGCCACAAAACAGGCCTCAACAAATAAGAAGATCGAAGTCATACCATGCACCTTTTCTGATCACAATGCTGTGGAACTAGAACTTAGCCACAAGAAAAAATCTGGAAAGACCACAAATACATGGAAGTTGAATAATAGGCTACTGAAAAATAAATGGGCCAACCAGGAAATAAAAAAAGAAATTGAAAAATACACGGAAACAAATGTAAACACAGGGGTCCAAAACCTTTGGGATGCAACGAAGTGGTCCTAAGAGGGATGTTTATAGTAATACAGTACTACCTCAAGAAGCAAGAAAAATCTCAAATGAACAACCTAACCTTACACTTAATGGAGCTGGAAAAAGAAAAACAAATGAAACCTAAAGCCAGCAGAAGGAAGGAAATAATAAAGATTAGAGCAGAAATAAATGATATAGAAACTAAAACAATAGAACAGATCAATGAAACCAGGAGCTGATTTTTTGAAAAAATTAATAAAATTAATAAACCTCTAGTCAGATTTATCAAAAAGAGAATGGACCCAAATAAGTAAAATCACAAATGAGAGAGGAGAAATATCAACTAACACCACAGAAATACAACAAATTATAAGAGAATATTATGAAAAACTACATGCCAACAAGTTGGACAACCTCGGAGAAATGCATAAATTTCTAGAAACATATGTTTCTATTTCTAAATTACCAAAACTGAAACAGGAAGAAATAGAAAACTTGAGCAGATTGATAACCAGCAAAGAAATGGAATCAGTAATGAAAAACTCCCAACAAACACAAGTCCAGTACTAGATGGCTTCACAGAGAATTCTACCAAACATTTAAAGAAGAGTTAATACCTATTCTTCTCAAACTATTCCAAAAACTATAAAAGGAAGGAAAAATTCCAAATTCATCCCATGAGGCCAGCAAAACTCTGATAACAAACCCAGATAAGACACCACCAAAAAAAAGAACTACAGGCTAATATCTCTGGTGAACATAGATGCAAAAATCCTCAACAAAATATTTGCAAATTGAGTCCAACAATACATTAAAAAACCATTCACCACGATCAAGTGGAATTTATTCCTGAGTTGCAAGAGTGGTTCAATATCTGCAAATCAATCAACATGATACATCACATTAATGAAAGGATATGAACCAGATAATCATTTCAATAGATATATAAAAAGCATTTTACAAAGTACAACACCCATTCATGATAAAAACCCTCAACAAAGTAGGTTTAGAGGAAACAGCATAAAGGCCATATATGAAAAACCCACAGCTAATATCATCCTCAGTGGGGGTAAAACTGAGAGTGTTTCCTTTACCATCAGGAACAAGACAGGGATGTCCACTCTCACCACTTTTATTCAACATAGTACTGGAAGTCCTAGCCATAGCAATCACACAACAAAAAGAAATAAAAGGCATCCAAATTAGCAAGGAAGAAGTAGAACTTACGCAATTTGCAGATAACATGATACTCTATATAGAAAATCCCACAGACTCCACCAGAAAACTGCTAGAACTAATACATGAATTCAGCAACGTCACAGGATATAAAGGCAATGTACAGAAATCTGTTGCATTTCTACACACTAATCATGAAACAGCAGAAAAAGAAATTAAGGAATCAATCCCATTTACAACTGAATCAAAAACAATAAGATACCCAAGAATGAACCTAACCAAAGAGGTGAAAGACCTGTACTCTGAAAACCATAAAACACTGATGAAAGAAATTACAGATGACACAAAGAAATGGAAAGACATTTCATGCTCATGGATTGGAAGAACAAATATTGTTAAAATGTCCATACTACCCAAAGCAATCTGCACATTTAATGCAATCCATATCAAAATAGCAATAGGATTTTTCATAGCTAGAACAAAAAATCCTAAAATTTGTATGGAACCACAAAAGACCCCAAATAGCCAAAGCAGTCTTGAAAAAGAAAAGCAAAGGTGGAGGCACCACAATTCTGGACTTCAAGTTATATTACAAAGCTGGAGTAATCAAAACAGTATGGTACTGGCACAAAATCAGACACACAGATCAACAGAAAAGAACTGAAAATCCTGAAATGAACCTACAATTATATGGTCAATTAATCTTCAACAAAGCAGGAAATAACATCCAATGGGGAAACGACAGTCTCTTCAACAAATGGTGTTGGGAAAACAGGACAGCTATATGCAAAAAAATGAAACTGGACCAGTTTCTTACACTATATACAAAAATAAATTCAAAATGGATTAAAGACCTACATGTGAGACCTGAAAACCATAAAAATCCTGGAAGAGAACATAGGCAGTAACTTCTTTGACAATGGCCATAGCAACTTCTTTCTAGATATGTCTTTTGAGGCAAGGGAAACAAAAGCAAAAATATACTATTGGACTAAATCAAAATAAAAAGCTTCTGCACAGTGAAGGAAACAAAACTAAAAGGCAACCTACTGAATGGGAGAAGATATTTACAAATGACATATCTAAAAAAGGGTTAGCCTCCAAAATACATAAAGAACTATACAAATCAACACACAATAAAACAAGTAATCCAATTAAAAAATGGGTAGAAGACATGAATAGACATTTTTCCAAGGAAGGCATCCAGGTGGCCAACAGACACCTGAAAAGATGCTCAACATCACTCACCATCAAGGAAATGCTAATCAAAACTACAATGAAATCAAATGCAAATCAAAACTACCTCACACCTGTCAGAATGGCTAAAACAACAAGAAACAACAGGTATTGGAGAGGTTATGAAGAAAGAGGAACCCTCTAGTCCTGCTGGTGGGAATGCAAACTGGTACCGCGGCTGTAGAAAACAGTATGGAGGTTCCTCAAAAAGTTAAAAATAGAACTACACTATGATCCAGCAAGTGAACTACTAGGTATTTACCCAAAGAATACAAAAATACTAATTCAAAGGGGTACATGCACCCTGATGTTTACAGCAGCATTATCTACAATAGCCAAACTGAGGAAACAGCCCAAGTGTCCACTCATCAACGAATGGATGAAGAAGTAGTACAGGGGTGCCTGGGTGGCTCAGTTGGTTAAGTGTCTGCCTTCGGCTCAGGTCATGATCCCAGGGTCCTGGAATCAAGCCCCATGTCGGGCTCCCTGTTCAGTGGGAAGTCTGCTTCTTCCTCTGTCCCTCTCCCTGCTTGTGTTCTCTCTCTCTCTCTCAAATAAATAAATAAATAATTTTTAAAAAGAAGTTGTATATATAATATAAACAATGTAATATTACTCATCCATAAAAAAGAATGAAATCTTGCCATTTGCAACAACATGGATGGAGCCAGAGAGTATTATGCTAAGCGAAATAAGTCAATCAGAGAGAGACATCTATATGTGGAACTCAATCCTATGTGAAATTTAAGAAACAAAACTAACAAGCAAAGGGGGAAGGGAAGAAAGAGAGACAAACCAACAAACAGAGTCTTAACTATAGAGAACAAACCGATGGTTACCAGAAGGGAGGGCGTGGGAGGATGGGTGAAGTAGGTGATGTGGATTAAGGAGTGCATGTGTGATGAGCACTGGGTGTTGTATGGCAGTGTTGATCACCATATTGTACACCTGAAACTGATATTACATTGTATGTGAACTAACTGGAATTTAAATAAAAACTTGAATATATAAAAAATATATGAGTATGTCACACATATAGTAATAGACATTTACTAGTCCATGTATTGATGTTTATTTTTGTACTGCTAATGTTCAAATGACAAATGATTGGCATATTAGTACTACTTTATTTGTCACATTCAATTACTCACCTAACATATGTAAGATTAAATCTAATAGGTAGTTGGAAGTCCAGCTGAATTGTAGCACATTGATGGTATCGGCCAATAGCATCCTTGATTTTTATATCAATCTATAAATTAAATGATATTTGCTTAAAGACAGCTTTTATTTTTCCTTTAAATTTTTAGTCTTTTTGAGGCATATAGTCTACTTACTTTAGGGCCATAAAATGCTCCATCTCCTGGGTTCATCTTCCATGGTTTTCCAAATTCCACCAAGCTGTTCTGTAGTTGCTATTTTTTTTAAAGAAGAGAACATTTAAAACTTATACGTCACTGTACTCTTATTTTTTGCCACATAGCTCAAAAAAGTAAGTTATTACAAATCTTAATTATATTCTATTTTAGCTTAACATATATTTATTGGGCATGTTTTATATCCAATAAATTACTGAGCAGGGGCTACATAAAGGTGATTAAGATGGTACTTGCTCTCATACACATTATAACTGGAAAAATTAAAAGACAATGTACTAAACTGTCCCAGTGAATTCCAGGCAAGTGTTTAGGGAAGCCAATGCAGGCCCCCTTAGCCTACACACTTCCCAACTTAGTGGGTGATGCCTCCACTCATTAAAAGGTATGAAACTTTGATCTTTATCCTTTATCCACCCTGTGTTCCCCCATCCACTCTGTGTTTAGGTGGGTAAGGTCAAGGGGAAGGGCCTTGCCACTGTCTCTTGCTTTTCTATACCTCTGTACATGTAGCTAGGGAGGGGTGTCCTTTATGATTTATAGTGGGTGGGAGCAGGAGGCCCATTTTGATCTTCAGCCTAAGCCACATAAATTCTTTGATTTCAGACTGTAGTGAAAACCCTCAGAACTGCTGGTGATTGGGTATAAGTATTAATAAGAAGTGTCTAAGTCTTCTGGCTATGTCCTATGGATATAGCTTCCTTGGGAAGCACCTGTGCATTCCTAAGTCCCTGGCCAGAATACTGCCATACCAGCATCCAAAGTCCTGTCATCACCTCAATATATTGGTGCCTATGAGAGGGTTGACATTTGGGAGTAAACTGCTGACAGGGAAGTCAAAGCAGTGGTGGTGGCTGGGGGTCCAAAGGCAGAGTCATCAAGAAAGCTGACTCATGGGGTCCTGGCAGGATTTTCTAGGATCTCAGTTAAAGTGCGTTAGGTGCTGGTCTTGGCTGAGATCCCAGGAGGCTCCCTCATGGGCCTGACCCTGCTAGAGCAGCTTGTGTTCTACCTAGGACTGGAGGCGGCCACCACCACAGACTCATTTCACAGGTTGGGAGGCTAGCCTCTGCCTTACTCTGCTTCTGCAAGGAGAAGAGATACTGGAATATATTCCCAGAGAAAACGAGGACCTGCTGCAGGAGGGAACTAAGTGATGGGGAGAATTTAGGGGGCTCCCAGGAATTAAAAAGCCAAAAAAGGGCCAGTTTTGGGGGAAAAGCATAAAGTAAGGGCACTGATACTCACTGGGCCTCTGAGGACACAGTAATCAAGACGGCCTAATAGGAACAACCAAAGCTAAGAAAGCTTTCAGTTTATGCAAGGTATGGGAGGAAGTGTATGTCTGAGGGGAGACTGAACCACTGTAATTCACATCTGTGGACACTGCCTGCACCCTGGTAGAGGAGAAATCAAGATCTCCTTTTCTCCCCTTCTGGCTGGCTATCCTTCTTTTCCAGGTAAACCAAGTCTCTGGCTCCCAAGAGCACCGTGGGTCTATGCTGTGGTACAGGCTGGGGTCTAAATATATCAATTTGCTTGGAATTTTGTGGGTGTGGGCTTGGAATGTTCTTAGGGATCTCAATGGCTCAATGGAATGCCAGAAAAGTGGGATGCACGAGAGATTTGGAGAGGGGTTATTCCAGCTCCAAGGAGCAGGTGGATTTACATAGATTCCAGGGGCAGAGGCCAGATCAGGTCTGCTGAAGCAGCAGCCCAGACTCCCTTCACATTTATCTGAGTGGGAACCCTATAGCTGAGCTTAGGTTAAATTAAAAAATTGAACATATAGAACATGAAACTATTTCTTTTGGATTTTAATTTTCACAAGAAAAAGTAGATTTTCTTTATGTCACAGATTTCTTGATGAAACTTAATAGAAAACAGAACTCACATCATTCAAATCTAGGGTATTTTTTTGCTCCTGACATTTTGGTTATTTGGACAAGCTGTCATCTGATGGTTACACTGCATAGCTCTCCAGTGAGTTCTGCTGGGTTCCATAACTACACACAATCTGAGATAAGAAATAAGGTAATGGTGAACTGATGACCCAGGAACAATGTGGCCTTGGAGCTGACTTAACTACTGTCTCTTTCAAACCATTTCAGAGACATCTGAAGACAAAATATATATATATATTCATCTCACTGATTCCCAGATCAGGGGTAGACACCATGGGATAAATTCCCCCAGAGTGGAAGGATTCCCAACTTCTAAAGGAACAGTGAACTAAAAGACAGCAAAAAGATAGTGGGACAGCCCAGCCCATTCTCCCCGTGCCAGGCCCACACCTGGTCCACCCACTTTTTGGCCCCCTGCACTCCATGTATGGAGTGATAATAATGATAATACTACTACAATTAATAATACCAACACCTAACATTTACTGAACACTTACATGTGCCTGACACTATGACAAATTCCTCACATAAATTATTCCACTTAAGCCCACCATAACCTTAGGTGTTATCACAATCATTGTCATCATCATCACCATTTCAGACCTTAATGCTTATTCTATAATTCACTCATGGAGCTAACCTTTTTGAAAACAGACAAAAGGTGTTCCAGAGTCAAGCTTTGTGCCCTCTTTTCCTCTTCCTATCTCCATGTGGCTAAGCAGGGGCAGGCTGTCTAATTTGACTTTCTTCCTCTATGAAACAGATACGGAAGAAGGTGCATTTAGGATGGGTATGGGACAGTGGGGAGGAGAAGGCCCTAATTAGATCTCAAGCCTAAATTGCTTCTACCAAGTCTCTGCCTGCCTCAGTACCGAACAGAAAACTAACTAACACTATCAATACAGTGTTCCTCTGATTCTTAGTTCCTTAATGATCTGTGTGATCAGCGTCTGTGAGTATTCTATGAAGAGGTGGATCAACAGGCAGGTCAGGGTTTAGGCATTCAAGGGTGTCTGGCCATACCACCATCCTCATTTCAAATAAAAACTGACACAGGAAATGTACTGTACTCTTTTCATGTTTAGTAAGAAGGAAAAAAAAGAGAGAAAGACAGAGAAGCATCATGAGCTCCTTAATCTTGTTCTCCAAAGCTGAGATGTGACATGTGAGTCTCTGGGTGCCTCTAGATAAGGGATAGCACCAGAGGCTGTGACTGTGGAGAGGATTCAAGCAACGGGTGTGTGCGTCTACATCTATGAATCACACTAAGTTGGCTCAACAGGCAACAGTTTAAAATAAGCTGCACACACACCAAGAGTGCCTGCAAATCAGAGGATTCCTTTAAAAACTTATGAAATTGGTTATTAGTGACTGACACTGAAAGAGTATAAATAAAAACCTGATATAAACTTGAAACTATTTGAAACAAACGTATTGTTATTATCACTGTTACAAAGAAAACTGGACAACCACATTCTATAATCTCTGTATTTATCCCATAACTTCCAATTTAAACCTTTCTATTGCAAAGCATGGCATCCTCCTCATGCAAAGTAACTACAGTCACTCGGGTGGTTTCCACACTCACAGAAAGGAAGGGATGCACTTTGTCTCCCCCTACCTTTTCAGCTTCATCCCATAGCTCAACCTCTCCTAGGAAGTTTTCAGGTCTTGTTGACAAATTTAATTGAAAGGAGAAGCCAAATGTTGAGTAAACAGATTGCAAAAACTGCAAACAGCCGTTTATTTCTTCTTCAATCTGAAATGAGAGCAAATGAAATATTCTAAAGAGTTAACACCGAATTAAATTAAGAAATAAAGTATGGTTTGGAGAAACAAGATGGCGGAGGAGTAGGAGACCTAAATTTCCTCTGGTGCCAGGAATTCAGCTACATAGGGATCAAACCATTCTGAATACCTACAAACTTAACAGGAGATCGAAAAAAAGAATAGCAGCAACTCTCTGAACAGAAAAGCGACCACTTTCTGGAAGGTAGGACATGCGGAGAAGTGAATCCGAGGCGATATTTGGGAAGACAGACAGCGGGGGAGGGGGCCTCCGTCAGGCGCTACTGGCAAGTGATAGAGCATCAGAGCACAAAATCAGAACTTTTAGAAGTCAGCTCCGCTGAGGGACATCACTCCAGTGGCTAAGCGGGGGGTGGAACCCTCTCGGGGACAGTGTGGTCTCAGGACCCTCGGGATCACAGAAAGACTGGGGGTGCCTGAGTGCGGCAGAGCTCCCAGGTGTCGGAGCGGGGAAGCCGGCTGCAGACACGGAGCCGAGGAGTGGGCTCTCAGCTCGGGGTGGCCATAAACCGTGATCTGCGGCACAGTCGGGCCACTGCTCCTCCAGCAGGGACCCAACAAGCGGCAGATCCAGGTGACTCCCCTTCCTCCCCCGGGAGGAGCGGCACGGGAGCGCACCACAGGGATGTGCTGGGTTTGGGGACTCCAAACGGGGTTGGGTGACAAAGACAGAAATGCTCCGTCACAGGCTAGGTGAGCACTGAGTGCGGCCGGAGACTGGGGAGACGAGAGTGACTGACTGCTTTTCTCTGGGGGCGCACTGAGGAGTAAGGCCCCGAGTTCTTGGCTCCTCTGGGGCAGAGATTGGGAGGCTGCCATTTCACTCTCATCCTCCAAAGCTGTACGGAAAGCTTGCAGGGAACAAAAGCTCCCGAGAGCAAACCCGAGCAGATTACTTAGCCCTGACCCAGCAAGGGCAGGGTAATTCCGCCTCTAGCAAAGACATTTGGGGACCACGGCAACAGGTCCCTCCCCCAGAAGATCAGCAAGAACAGCCAGCCAAGACCAAGTTTACCAATCAGTGAGAACGGCAGAAACTCCAACGCTAGGGGAACGCTGCACATAGAATTCATGGCTTTTTTCCCATGATTCTTTAGTCTCTCAAAGTTAATTTTTTTAACTTTCTTTTTCTTTTTCTCTTTTTTTTTGAATTTTTCTTTTTCCCTTTTTCAACCAGTATTTTATCAATCCTTTTTTTAAAAAATCTTTTTTTATTTTTCATTTTTAGAGTCATATTCTATCCCTTCATAGTAGTTAACTTTA